ATGAGGAGATTTTTCAGTTTTCAAATGGCCCGTCAGACTCCTCAGTTCCTCTGACGGGCCCCGGCTTTTGACTTAGCTGGGCATGAAGCAATGAAATGGCCAGTCTCACCACAGTATATGCACAATTTGCCCCTGAAACGTCTTAGCCTTTCCTCAGGGGTTAGCCTTGTGTGTCCAACCTGCATGGGTTCGGCTTCCGTCTCAACTGAATGAGAGACCTGGATAGGCAAAGAGAGAGTCCAGGTTTTAGGCCTTGGCCTGGAAACGGGTTCTGTGGATCCAGAAAAAACAGAAGCATTATTCAATGCAGGAGCAGACACAGAAAAATTTAGACTCTTATTTCTTGAGCAATTTCTAGCTCGAAGTCTGTTGTCCAACCTAATAGTTAGGCGGATAAATTCCTCCAGGCTAGCAGGTTCATCAAGAGTTGCAAGTTCATCCTTGATATTGTCATTCAGTGCCTTAAAATATGCACTTTTCAGAGCACATTCGTTCCATCTGGAAGCTGCGGCTTTGACCCGGAAGTTGATGGAAAAATCCGCTACTGAGGAATTTCCCTGTTTTAGATTCAGCAGAGCTCGAGAGTCAATTGTTTGATCAGAATCTTGATTAAACACTTGGTTGAATTCTGAAACAAACTCTGAAAAAGTTTGTCTGAAACTGGTCTCGGAGGTAAATCTAGCCTCCGCCCACTCTAGGGCTCGCCCAGTGAGTTGAGACAAAATAAAAGTTATCTTTTTCTTATCCGTAGGGAAACTGCCAGGAGAGTTCTCAAAAATTAGACGACATTGAAACAAAAATCCCTTACATTCTTTCTGATTACCTGAGAACTTTTCAGGGAGACTAGGGCGGAACTCAGGAGATGACGTCACAGCTGGTGACCTGAGAGGCGGAAGTGGTTCCGGAACTTGACGTGCCGCCGACGCGGCATTAGCACTGCCCATGTAGCTAGCATAGGTTTGGAGCATTTGGTTTTGATAATCAATCATGGTATGTAACTCACGGAGGGTTTGAGATTGTCCATGGATCTGAGCGTCTTGTTCCTCAAGCCTAGCCGACGGAGGTGATCTGCTGGGCTTTCAGTTTGGCCGCAGTGTCATGATTGGTTACAGAGTAAGCCCAATATGCAGAACACACACGGAGACTGGATAAAAAGTTAACAAGGTTTATTGAGTCACAAGCACATGAATATTGCACTGGAACTGATACTGGTCAGGGGGCAGGTTCACTGGAGTCTGCAGGGATGACAGTTCAGTTAGCAAACGGACTGATGAGTTATGAGTCTTAGATATTTCTGAGGAATACCTTGAAGGTGTCCGGGTTTCTCTTTGAGAGAGGAAACTGTTGGGTCCAGAGACTGTTTGTTCAGCAGAGTCCAATAAACGCTTCAGCGTCTTACTTCTGACTTTGAGGGCAGACCTTGATTTGAGTTTCCAGCTCTTAGCCAAGAGCTGC